TTGTCTATTGTGCCAATACCACACTCTGACTTTAGAATGCATTTCAGTATTTGGTAAACCAAACTTTCGCTACCTTGTTCTGCATCTCTAGGGATGTCTTGGCTACTCTTGGCTATTGAGTTTTCCATGTATATTTTAAAATAGGGTTGTCAAGCTCCATAAAATGTTTCAACTCAATTTTGATTGGAACTTTATTAACTTGTAGGTCAGCTGGGGAGATTCAACATCTTTATAATATTGAACCTTACTATGCATGAACACGTCATAATCATTTATTTGTATCTTTATGTTTTTCTGGCACATCTTTTATTAAATGTAATTAATTGTAGAGAAGCCATTTTATTCACAGTTACTGATGAAGAAGCTGATATGGAGGGCAGTTAATGGACTTCTTTTAGTTTTTTTAAGCTAGAAAGTGAATAGGGCTCTAACCCAATTCCTAATCCGTAGCTTCTTTCTTTTCCATTGTACCTCATTTAATTAGAAACATGAGATTTGGATATAGCATGGATCATATCTACCAAACCATAATAGTTAGATGTAGTTATAATGAGATATGTTATACTTTGTCTGTTCCATGGGTGCATCTGCCTAACCGCTCTCATGCAGTAAATGTTCTATTTTGCAGAAGTAGATCCTCCTGGACATCAATGATATGCTCATTTATGAAAGATAACATACAAGATTGGAAACCCCATCTCCTTTACGTCTTATACTCCATGTTTGTTTTTGGGAAAGTCTTTAGATCATTTACAATACAATCCTTTTTCTTTTTCTGTCAGCCTTTAAGTGGGAGAAAATAGATATATTTGTCAGCAAGAAGGGTGGTTCCTGCAATAAGGATGGCTTGAGTTTTCTGGCCAGTGTTTACAAAGTGAGCTTCTGTTCACACTAATCACGGCTAATGTCCCCTTGTTGATGAGCAATAATCCCGGCATGCGGACACAGCTGGAGATCTCATTTACCTGCCAACTCCAGAGCTGCTTGGCTGTAATGACAGATGGAAAATCAACTGTGTTTCATTTATGAATAAGATATAGAGAGTATATGAGCTTTTGAGAATACAAGCTGCCCTCATTCCAGGATGAGGTCACTGACGGTAAATAAAAAATAGATATAATGGAGATATAAAATTATATACAAGAATAAAAACTGGTGGCAGCCATTTCCACCTTTGGGAGTGAGTAATGACATACTGTATATCAGTGGGAAACGGAGCTCTAAGTGGCTTTGTACAATTTCAAGGACTGGAAGTCAGGGGAGCCCAAGAGTGCAAGGATTGGCTTGTGTAGTAGCAGGAGACATGGAACTCTGGAGAGCGCCTGGAGCTCAGCCACCCCTGAGAGAGGCGAGCTGAGGAACGTGGTGGGCAAGGGCGGTGCTGCTGTGGAGGGAACAGCAGAGCTGTAGGAGGTAAGACAGTGAGAGTGAGTGCTCAGAAGGACAGGCAGAGAGGAGTATGTCAGACCCACAGAACTGGCAGAAATCACAAGACAGGGGTTTACACCAATCTGATTCGCCTGAAAGTACAGGAAGACCCCAGCTACCTCCACAAAATTGGTCTCCACGCTGCCAGTCATGACTCAGCCTTTAGATTTTAAATATATCAAAACAAAACTTTCAGGAGATGAGGTAGGAATAGCTCTCTGAAGGCAGAGCTCTGGAGGGAGTACCCTGGAGGGGAAGCCACACCCAAGACTCTGAGTTTGTGTTTTTAATTTTTAGAAAGTCTTGCCTTTATGAGTGCATTCAATATGTGTGCATTCGAATACCAGTTGTGTCACGCGCTACCTGTGAAAACAAGCAAACTGCTTAACCTTTGAGCCTGTTGTCTGTCTGTGAGACACAGTAAATAACACCACCTGGAACTGCTGTGTATTCATCCATTTCCTGTTTAGGAAAAAAAAAAAGTGCATCTCACTGCCAGTGCAGTATTCTCAGACGGGAGATGGGTTAATGGGTAATGGGCACTGGCTGAAACGGGGCAAACAGGAACTGGGTTAAAGAAGAACACATGGAAAGGACCTAGCAGTGGCTGACAGGAGCTGCTCCCTCTGTCCTGTCCGTCTGTGTTGAGAGATGAATGGACGATGGCCTTGAGCGGGCCTTAGAGGGCCTGAGCGTGTTTACTCAGAGAAGTGCATTGCAAACGGATGTTTTTGTGGGGGCTGAGATGATGGTTTTAAAAAATGAACATACATATCTATACATCTAGAATAATATTGGCTGTTTACTCAGGCTAAAGGGCCACAGGGTTACTGTTTCAATTATGTGATATAGGTAATTGCAGAAAACTTTAAAATATGGTGAAGTGGAGAATAGAAGAAAATAAAAATCAACGAAAATTCCACGACTCAGAGATCGTCGCAATAACATTGATAACATTTAGCTTCTTGACATCTTCCATCTCTCTCTCTCTCCCTAGCTATCATCTATCTATAAATGCACATTATATTCTATAAAGTACGGTATCCCTTTTTATAAATACATGTACATATTGATATATATGTGTCTATGTACACATATTTATAAAAGGGATACCATACTGCTTTCTTTTTCTTAACCTAATATATTAGAGAAATATTTCTGTGGCAATAAGTATAATGTATAAAATAATTTTTAGAGCTCTGGTATTTAATTTTATGGCTATATAATTATTATACTCAGTCATCATTGTAGGGTGTTCAGATCTTTCCAGGTTTTCCTGATTATAAACAATATTTCTTACACTTTTTTCCTTTCTCTTTCTCTCTCCCTCTCCCCATCTTCCCCTCACCTCCCTCCCTCCCCCTCCCTCCTTCCCTCCCTCCTTCCCTCCCCCCTCCCTCCCTCCTTCCTTCCCTCCCTCCTTCCCTCCTTTTCTTTCTCTCTTCCTCTTTCTTTCTTTCTCATTCATTCTTTTGCTATTCCTTTCATAAGTGGTGTATTTCCTTGTAGCATATGATATAACAATTTAATCTATGATTCTTTCCATACGGGCAGTTGTCTCAACACTAGTAATCAAACAATTTCTATTTCTCTGTCAGTTCAAAATACTTCATCACATTCTAAATTTCTGAGGTTTTCTTTAGCATTTCTGTTTTATTGGATGTCCCTGTCCATATAATTCTCTTTCAATGATTACGGTATTATAATTAGAGTACTTATTGCATTTATTTGATATCTGATAGAGGAAGGATGACTTCATCCATGTTTTTTCAGATGAGCATTCTAACATTTAACCAAAGCCAACTGCCCTGAATAGAATGACTATACTTGTGTTTAGTCGCTGTGATTGCTCTTGCTCTTCTAGAAAAACCAGGGTGTGGAGACTGTGCCAGTGAAGGGGAAGCACTAGGATCTTCATGGGGGCTGGAGTTAGCCCCAAGCTGAATGACTGGGTCTTCATGGCTCAAAATTTCCAAGCAGCCTAAGTGCATCTCTTGGTTACTCTGGTTAGTCTATGTGAAGGTCTGCCACCTGTGACTCTGTGTCCCGCTGGACCAGTTGCACATTAAAAACACCTAAAGAGCTTTTCTGAAATAATGATGTTCATGCCCCACTCCAGGTGGAGTGAATCAGAATCTCTCAGGAAATGGTGTCTGGGGTTTGGTGCATTTTAAAACCCCAGACAATTGTACTGTACAGCCAGGGCCAAGACCCAAGGCCCTAGACTATAAGCTGCCTATAGTCAGGAACCATGCTATTCATTCGTTTGCCATTCACAGTCCCTTGTACCACTCCTGACATGCAGAAGAACACAGAAGAACTGAACTGAATTCAGGTGAAGAACCCAGACTTATACATCTCTACTCATTCTTCTAGGGAAAGAGTCACAGGTTATCAGTGACCAATAATACTTATGCATCCTCTTGGGGGCCTCACAGTCTTATTGGAAAAAGTAGCTTTAAGAGGGAGAAAAAAAGATCTGTCTTGGTCCAATAAAAGTTTAGCTGACAGTCTGAAAAGAGGAGGGCTTAGGGGGAATCCAGTGTATCCCCTTATTTTAATGTCTTGGAACCCAGGGATTACATGACTTTGCCAGGCGGCACAGCTCTTAGTGGCACATCTGGAACAGAAAGCAGCTCTTTTTATTCCAGATATTTGTGCTATAGCTTGTTGTCCTTGTGTATGTGCATATAGGTGTGAGTATGCATTGTTAGTGTGTGTGAGACTGAGTGTGTGAAGGTGTATATATGTGTGTATGTGAGTCTGTGTTGTGTGTGTGTGTGTGTGTGTGCGCACAAGGAATGGGAGGGGTATGGAACCTGAGCGGAACCAGTCTCCTTCTGCAGAGCAATCACATTATAATAAACAGAAAACTGGAAGTGCTTTCTTCTTTTGGCCCTGAGGTTTGCTGTGTCTTCTCCAGGTTGACCTTGGTCAGGTCCAGTAATATTTTCCTGGGAACAGGGCAGGCTTCCAGGGCTCAGAGTCTATTGCATACAAGGTGCTCTGCATCCAGGTGTACTGAGAAGAAATTTGGGGAAGGGTTGTAGTAGGTGGTCTTAGGCTTGATCTCGTTTGAATTGGTATGTCAGAGCAGCTGGGAAAGCATGGACCACTGTGCCTGTACTGGCTTAGGGTCCAAGAGTTTCCTATGAACAGATGGCAGCTTTATGCATCTGAAAATTCAAGTTAAAAAAAAAAAAAGACGATCCTCATCCTTGCTGAAGGTGTGATGTCCTCCTTGGACAGTCTCTCTTTTCATATCTGTGTCCTCCAAGGTGCTTCTCTGCCAGACCTGAGGACCCTTGGGTCCTAGCTCAAAGGCTAACTCTCTGCTGGCATAGCTTGGTCAGGCCCCAAGTCCCCCCACTTTCTTCTAGACTTCAGGGAGGTCGCATGGGGGAAGACAGAGCCTGCCTGTAACAGCCTTTGGTGGGTGTGGTCTGCTGGCTGGCTCCTGATATGATCCTGTATGCTTGTGTATCAAGGAAGCCCCAGCTCAGATTCGCTAGAGGAAAATCTCTGTGGAAGCAAATTAACCAAGAATTGGGCCATGCAGATTAGAGACTCACCTGAGCAGTTGGAAATCACTGATTCGTAGGCTTTGCTTTTAATCCAAATAGTTCGGATCACAATGCCATACATGACGCTGCAGAAAGAACCAAAGGGAATATTAAAGTGGCTGGTTGATCCCTGCTATGAGGACACAAAGAAGACCACTCCCACCTCCCTGAGTGCAAGATGTGAAGGGAGGGATCTTTTAACCATGTCTGCCCCTCTCCCATACTTGCTGTTTACAGAATTACAACTGAAGGTGACCGTGAGGATCCATTGGATGGAGTTACTTCTTTCTTAAGTGAGGAGGCTAAGACCTGGTAAAGTTATTGCAGTTTCCTCAACGTAACCCAAATGGTTTGAGGGAGAGCTGTGATTAGAATCCAAAAATAGGCTTTAGAGTCAGAAAAACTTGGGTCTCCTCTACTACTTTCCTGTTGTTCAATCCTGACTTTAGATAGTCTTTTAAGTGGCGTCTATGATCCCTGACTCCGGCATTCGTGGCTTTGTGTGATCCTCACCCCTTTAGTGTGGGAAGAGCTGGGGACTTGCTTCTAATCAATGCAATGTGGCAAAGGGGATGAGACTGATTGCATGGAGTGTAGCACCTGTCTTGCTGGTGTTTCTCTCCGTTGCTGGCTTTGAAGAAGCAAGCTGCCATTAACCTCACAGCTGCAAGTGAATGAATTTTGCTAAGGACCTGACGAAGCTTAGAAAAAAGCCTTTCCTAGTCCAGCCTCTGATGACCCTCTGCCCTGGATAAACACCTTGAAGGCTGCCTTTCCTGAGCAGGGGACCCACTTAAGCCATGGCCAGACTCTTGACCCACAGAAACTGTGAGATAATAAATGTATCTTGCTTTAAGCCACTAGGTTCCTGGCAATTTGTTGCACCGTAATAGATAACTACCACAGTGAGGCTTCGCTGAGATTCTACAAAACGATGTTAACAATACAGACCTCTTGAGCTTGTTGAGTATCAGATGTGACAATATTTAAAGTGCCAAGTATAGTGCTGAAAAATTAGTGGAGACTTACAAGGTGTAATTTCGTTTCTCCTCTTTTTTGCCTATTTTGTACACTGTGTCACACCAATTCTTACATGATTTAATCTGTACCTAACAGGAAAATAAAGTGTTAATGATTCCAAAGTGTCAGCAAGTTTTTTGTCCTGGGTACTCTTTGATAAATAGAATGATTCATACTCTTCTTTCATATTACTTGATATTTTGACTACATTAAGCACCTTGACTAAAAACTTAAGCGCCTTGACTAAAAACTTTGGGACAAAGCAACGCTTTATTTTAAAACTGCATATCTTCCCTCTTGAGACTCATTAGTAAAAAAAAAAAAAAAAAAAAAAAAAAAAAAAAAAAAAAAAGCAGAGCTTCAGTTTGCAGTAGCTGACGAAGCACTAATTGCTTTTAATGATCCTTAGAATATAAGTTAATTAATGGCAGTGTTAAAATCTCTGCTTCTTATTGCCTTTTCCCATTCTTGCTCAGCGAACCCCTCTGAGTGCTCCAGGAAAGCTCAGGGACTTTTTGGAGCAGTTCCCTTCTTTCACATATAACTGCCCAGGGACTTTTTTGAAATTTGCATGCCTGCAGTAAAGAAAAAAAGAGAAAAATGTTATTAGTGAGTTCAACCCTAAGTTGAATATTTTCTAGAACAGGGAAACTTCTTCCCCAGATAAGTGAAATATTGTGCAAGGTCAGGTTACACCCACCAGGGGATTCCTGTGGTTATGCCAATTGCAACCCCAATATTTAACTGACAAATAATTCAAATATTTATGACTATCAACCACATATATAGGGGGAGAGTTAAGAAATGTCTTATGCTTTAGTGATTTGGGCCTAAGTCACCTGCTCTTTTTACCTAGGGCCAATCAGATGAGTGAAAGCCAGTAATAGCTTTTCTGTTAGCATGGCAAACACCTAATAACTAGGGTATTATTGCCAAACCAGGCTACTACTTAGAGCATAGCAATCATGCATCAAAGAGACGTCTGCATTACTGTTTATCACCATTGTTTTTGGACACAGCGTTTTGCTCTGTCACCCAGGCTGGAGTGCAGTGGCCGGATCATAGCTCACTGCAGCCTTGACCTCCCACCTCAGTCCCCTGAATAGCTGGAACTACCAGTGTACACCACCATGCCCAGCTAATTTGTGTGTGTTTGTAGAGACGGGGTTTTACCATGTTGCTCAGGCTGGTCTTGAACTCCCAGGTTCAAGAGATCTGCCTGCCTCGGCCTCCCAGAGTGCCGAGGTTATAGGTGTGAGCCACCACACTTCCTTTTTCCTTTATCGGATCAATCAGCTTGTAGATAGGTTTTGTGGATTGTCCCCACAAAATAACTCCGTAATATGTACCTTCCTCTTTATCCAGTCTTTTGATGACTACTTTTATTGTGGTAAAATATGTATGAAATTTACCATTTAATCTTTTTGTTTTGTTTTGTTTTGATAAGGTCTTGCTCTGTTACCCAGGCTGGAGTGCCGTGGTGTAATCACAGCTCACTGCATGCATCCTTGACCTCCTGGGCTCAGGTGATCCTCCCACCTCAGCCTCCCAAGTAGCTGGGATCACAAGTATGTGCCACCAAACCTGGCTAATTTTTAAATTAATTTTGTAGAGATGAGGTCTTGCTATGTTGCTCAGGCTGGCCTCAAATTCTTGAGCTCAGTTGATCCTCCCACCTCGGCCTGCCAAAGTGCTGAGATTACGGGCCAGAGCCACCACGCCCAGGCCATTTTAATTATTTGGAAGTGCACAGTTCTGTGGCATTAACTGCAGCCACATTGTTGTGGTGCCATGTCCACCATTTGAGCACACAGTTTTTTCATCTTCTTCAACTGAAACTCTGTACCCATCAAACATAAATGTGATGCGTCTCATGAATTTGCGCATCATCCTCGTGTAGGAGCCACGCTAATCTCTGTATCATTCCAATTTTTGGCATATGTGTTATCAAAATGAGCACCTCTTATAATCTCTTGCTTGCTTATTAGCATAATCCTGTAACACTCCCACTCTGTTACCATCTCTAATGTGCACACCACCATTGAGGCTATAGCTGCAGGACACGGAGCCATCCCCCGGCTTCATGATCCAGCAGGTCCCCTTTCCACAAGATGCTATCCAGTCTCTTCAGCAGGGTATCCAAGCCTCTCACAGTATTCCTCCACCATCCTCACCCTCCTGGCTTCCTATATCCAGTGTCTCTCGACACCTCTCCCTGTGTTGGTTAGCCAACCAAACCAACCCTGACTCCATAACTCCTATGCACTTTGGATGAATGTGAGCTCCAGTGCTTCCCATCTCTCTGTGCCTGCTTTTCCCTCTCTTTGGAGTGCAATTTCGTCTTTTTTTAGTCCATCATCCATACATCAACTTGCTATGAAGCCTTCTTGAACTGCCCTTTTCTCCCTGGCAATCAGTTCCAGCTTCCTTGGGACCCCTAGGCTGGCAGAACACTCATTCCTTTAAGCCTGTCAATGGCAGTCATGTCTTTAGGATTGAGTGGACCTAGAATAGCTCCTTCTCATAAACAGAACTAAGGAAAAGCATTTTCATCATCTTGGTTATAACCTCCTGCATGTCTTTGCTCTATCTTCACTCTCTAAAGAGATGAGTTTAGCTTTTCTTGAAGCTTCTTAGAAATCTGAACACTGAAGGACTGCCCAGACTGAGAAGAGTGCCCCTTTTCTTGCACCTGGCTGGTTTATTTCTTGACTTCCTAGAAGAGGATCCAACACAGGCCTGTTTCCTTCACTTCCTTCATAGGGGCAGCTCATGGTAGTGTGATGGTGGCAGAACATGGAGTGCGAGCCACCAGGGCAAGACCTGCAGACATCCAGGAGAACGCCTGAGGCCAGATCCTGAGCCTTGGTTCTGGATCACGTGCAGGAAGTGTCGAGGAAACAGGACAAACAGTTCACTCTCCCCACAAGACACGACAAAGCGTGCTCTATCAAACCGGAAGTGCCCCCGTCCTGACCCCCTCAAGGCTCAGTATGGGGTTGGGGACTTGAAAGATGCCCATCACTGCCTTGGAGCTGTAGACCTTCAGAGTCAGAGAGGGCCTAAGGTTTCACCTCGGGAAAGCCAGCTGGATTTCCTGACCTTACCTTGTGGGGCTTGAGGGTGACGTGAAGTTGTGCTCTGGAGGTCTCAGCAGGGCTATACGCCTGTGCATGGCCAAGCATGGGGAGAAGGGGTGAGGGATAACTGGCCTTTTGTTTGATAATACCCCTTTTTCTTTCCTCTTACCAAGACCCTTAAGGATTCTTCCTGGCCAAAAGTGTCTCTCTCCTTCTTTAATTAATTTTGCAATATTTATTTGAGCACCAGCTTTGTCCCAGGAACTGGATGAACTATTGTGGATACCATGGTAGGCAAAACAGACAAGTTCTCATTCCTCATGGAGCTCACATCTTAGGGAAAGAATTAATAACAAAATGAGGACACAAGTAAAATACGATTGCAAAGGAGTAAAGTGCTATGTAGATACAATGCAAGTGGTACAAGGGTGTATAATAGGGGCCCTGACTTAGTTGGGGGGGTGGGTTAGAAAGTCTTCCCAGAGGAAGTGAAGTATCAGCTGAGATCTGAAATATAAAAAGATTTTCTAAATGCAGACGAGAGTGATCATTCAGGCTGAAATGGGATCACATGGCCGTTCCTGAACTATTCACATGGTAAAGGGAGGAGTTGCTGTGAGTGGCTGAGAGCGAAAGTGGAACAGATGCTGGAAATTCAACTACAACCATCTTCCGTAATTTAGGAATGTAGGGCTACACACCTCTTGTACTTCTTGGTTAATTTTATGTATACATATATGGTGTCACTTTGTCTTTTTGTAGAGACAAGGTCTCACTGTATCTCATGATACATACATCAATACCAGCACCGGTGTGCTTTCCCTTCCTAATGTGATGGATTGACTTAGGGCCCTGTAATCCTCTTTGACCTTGGGCTGCATGCCCATAGACAGTGCCGGCCAGGTCCCTGGGGCCCTTTTACCCACAATGGCCATGTATTCCATCCACAGGGCTGCACTGACCTGGCATGGGGCTTTCCCACAGTGTGATCCCATTTCCTAAGCAAAATAAATAAAGTTTTCTCACATGTGACAAATCAATGATCCATGACTAATGTGCTTTTTTCCACTTATTTTTTTCAGTTGTTGGCCATGATTCTCTTCTGCTTATACCTTTATCTTACAGAGATGACAATGATAAGAGAATGAGAAATCAATTAGGTAGGAAGAAAATAAGCACAGCTAAAGTAAAGCAATTACACTGAGGCTAATAACCTCCCCAGCAACAGTTAGACAGTTACATCAAGTGAATTTCAAAACAACTCCTGTTGTTTTGACCCAGAAAAACAACGTATTGCCTTTGCTGTCAGTCACTATGGTTTCAACTTCTGGGAGCCTGATTTAGTGGATGATGGAACAGCTAAATCTTTATTCATACACTGTTCTCATGAGAGTTTGCCACCAACAATACGACTGCTTCTCTCTCTCTTTCTCTCTCTCCCTCTCTCCCTGTTTTTCTCCCTCTACTCATTATTTTCTCCCTTTTTTCCTTCCTTTCACATATATTTATGGAGGAGCTATCAAATGCCAAAAATGGATCTGGGCATAAGATGGCCAGAAATTTTTATATTAGCAGGATGTGTACACACACACGCACACGTGTATGTGTGTGTGTGTGTGTGTGTGTGTGTGTGTTTGTGCATGAAAGAGAGAGACTGAGAGAAAGGGAGAGAAAGAGAGAATAGAGAGGGTGACATGACAGATCTGTTGTTAGGTGCAATTTATTGTGTTATTCATTCAATCTAATATTTACACTAATATTTAATGTGTGCTGGATGTGAAATCCAGAAACAAAAAGGTCGCAGACCCTGCACTCATGAGATACAGTCACACTACCACATAGTCTAGATAAGTACATGGACAAAGTGAGATTGGAGGTTAGGGAGTGAGGACCTGAGGTACCTCTTGGTCCAGGGTTGGCAAGGGAAACTCTACTGTGGAGTTGGTATTGGAAATAAGACACAAGGGATGCGAGCTAATTGGCCAGAAGCAAGGCAAGGTGAGTTTGGCATAGTGTTCAGGCATAGGGGTGATGCACATGGGTGAGAGGGGTGTTTGTTCCATGGCTGGAGCTGGGAGTGCAGGTGAGGTCAGCAGCTCACCATGAAGCAGGCAGGGAATCTTTGAAAAAGACAAGTGGATCTTGTCGTAGCAGATACTAAATACATATGAAGCTAGGCAGTAAGTAAAACAATGAAGTACTCATGGCAGAAAAGCCACTAAGGTAGTTATTTGTGCTTTCCCCTTTTTTCTTCATTATGCCAATCACCATTATTAATAACCAAAAACAAAATAAAACCATACTCAATATAGAGGCAAATGACAATCAGGAGAAATATTTGCAACATGTGCAAAAAGGGAAAGGTTATTGTATAAAAACTACCTCTAAAGATAGAGAATAAAGAAAATAAAAACATTTAAACAATTAAAGTGGCATTACTTTTGATGACAAAATCCGCAATGACTTTTGCACCAATCTAATAAGTACTTTAGACAAACAAAAATGACAATAAGCATATATAATACATTTAATCTCATTTGTAATTAAAGAAATGCAAAATAAAACAACTATGATATGTTTTTTCTATCAATTTGGTAAAGATATATATATATAGATGTAGCATGCATGAAGAGCATGAGGCATGATGAACAACATGAGTGAACACTTTCCTTGAGCCATTTTCTTTGTCTGTTTAAGCTTCAAATGAAGAATTTAACCTTACTCAGAGAATTGAGCCCAGGGGGCCAGAATATAGATAATAAAGAAAAAATAAGAATTGAACCTTATCTCTGAGATGAAATTGTAGTATCTATGTCAGGTACCAGTTGGAAACAAGTTCCTCACAAAATTCCCCCGGGGACCTGGTCTTGTTAGAGAAGAAAGTTGTTGCTGAAGGAGGTGGAGGATGTTAGTCCCCCAGTGACTTCATTCTTTACCAGGGGGAGCCATGGAAGAGGGAAAGTGATAGAAGGGCAGTCTCTTGTCAGGTAGGAAATGCTTCAGAGAAGCTCAAGGATGGCTGGAGGTCACAGCTGAGTTTTCATGACTACCGCAGCTGGAAGCAAGGAGCTAGGAGCCGGCCTTACAGAGGCCTTAGCTTGATGAGAGCTGAGGGAAACCAGCTTTTGAAATTATTTCCATCAATCAGCAAACACATTGTATTTTGCCCTTTCAAGGACACTAAAAAAACATGCTAGCCTGTAGGCAAGTTTGAGGCGAAGTCCTGGTGGGGGAAAAAAAAAGCCCAAATTAATGGGGAAATCATCGATACAGGACATCCTGAGCTGTGTGGTCCACGTGCTGCAGCATCCACTCTGCTGAGCAGGGATTTTGGCCATCATTTCTTGAGCTGATAGGAAATCAATCAGCAGTGAAGCTAGGACATGCACTGGGACTGAAATCGATGCCTCAGTTGCTTGGGATGACACAAGCCGCTTCCTTCCAAATGCTCTCTGACAGTTGTGGCTCACTTGCCTGTCTCCTCTGCCATGGGCCCCTTCCTACGTGCTGTGACTTACCTTGAATGGTTGTCTAAATAACCTTCTCTTTGTCAAGCTTCCTCTCAAGCTCAGCTTGATGAAGTAGAGGACAGTAAGTTGAAATAAAGTGTAGGTGTTAATTGTCCATTCAGCAGAGATGACTAGACAACACCCCATCCCAGAAAGCCTGCTGGGCTGGCTATTGGGGTTACTCGGTGCTTGCCCATCTCAATCTCTGATGGGGAGCAAGGCAGTTAGCTTCTTTTAGCCTTAAGTCTACTTTTATGAATAATTCAGGGATTTGACCATATGACGGATAACATTTCCCCCAGCTTTAGTATTCTATGAGACTAAAGATAAACAATAAGCAAAAAAGATGACTCCCACAATATCAGAAAACACTTGAAAAGCATGCCACCAGCTTCATAATTAAAGAAATGCATATTAAAACAATGATACACTTTTTAAACTCTTAGGTTGGCAAAGATTTAATAAGAAAATAGCACTACATTCCATCAGATTGGGGAGCAGAAAGCAAGAGCCCTTGTATGGTGTTGCCCAGAATATACGTTTTCCACAACTAATCTCAGCTAAAGGGCCAAGAAGCAATAAACCTTTTCTCAAGGGCAGCTTGTGACTATGCATCAGAAGTTTTAAAATGTGCATCCTCTTGGATCCAGACCTTTGATGTAGTAATTCCTCTAGAATGAGTTATGAGGAAATAACCAGAGACTCATGTACAATTTTAAGTACAAGGATTTTTATCACAGCTCTCTTTACACTATCGAAAACAAAGCATGATCTTCCTTTGCCCACGATGTGTTATATGACACACTATGGCAGGCTTAGAAGCACTTAAAAGGTGTAGGGTCACCATGGCCTAAGAATACATGCAATGTGCCAGGTCTCTCCCTGTAGTCTCCCACCCCATCCACACATACAGAGCCCATTTCAGAGGGTGATCCTGCCACGCGGCCAGGTGAGACCCTACCTTGACCAGGCTGTTGTGCTAATCTCTGTTGAAAGACCATCTATGGCTTACCATTGGCTGCAGGACACAGGACATCCTATGACTTTGTTGCCAAGGCCATTCACAATTAAGCCTCCTCCGACCACCGGAAGGAGCTCACTGCCAACTTCTGTTCCATTGGCACTACCTACCTGTCCACTCTGCCTTCATACTCACTCCCATATTTCCCTCTTATCCTACCTGAATCCTTACCTCCTTCAATGGTGGCTTCCAAAATATATTCCCTGCCATTATCTGACTCCACTGCATACACATTTTAGCATATTAGTGCATACTGAGTTTTATGTTGTTTGTTTTAGGTATTTCTATCTTTTCATTTACAAAATCCCTAAAACTGGTATTTGCCTTGTATTTGAAAGGCTGTGAGATATAAGAGAAATAATATGGTATGAAATCAGAAAAACCTGGATTTCAATCTTGTTTTATGTTGAGTAAGTTACTTAACCACTCTGAGCTTGAGTTTTATTATTCATTAAATTGGGACAATGGTAGTTATTTCACAGGGTTGTATTGTGGCTAATGCAGTAATTGTTAGCTATTTAGCATGATGCCCTGTAGTATATATCAGTAATTGTTAATTCCCTTCTCCTTACTGTACTTTGAAGAAACTAGGCTTAGCCCATGGTAGCCATTGATCAAATCTTGAGGCCTGGCCAATTCCCCCAAAAGCACTAGGAAAAACGAGCCTGCAGGGGAGGAAAGCAGCAGCTGGTGAAGCAGGAAAGCCCACCTTTCCCCACTCTGTGTGGTCCTGGCATGATAGCTTCTTACCTGATGATTGTCAGAGGGATGAAGTATACCAGGAAGGCCACAATGGTCATGTACGGGGTCCAGTAGGAGTCGTCAGGCCACAGGGCCCAGCACTGCACTTCACCATTGGAGAGTGTCCTCTTCCCAAATATGATCAGGGTGGGAATGGAGAACAGGAAAGACAGGCTCCAGGCAATCACGATGAGGAGCCTGGCTTGCTTTTCTGCCCAAAGGAAAGAGGGATGCCTGGGTACGTGACAACCATTTTCGAGAGCACAGTGGAGTCTGTTATAGAAAAGGATCACCATGGGGCAGCCACCCTGGACCTCACAGAACCTCCCAGTGCCTCAGTTTCCTCATATGTAAACAGTGAGACAGTACCTGCATACAGGGTCAATGGGAAGATTAGAGAGGGAAGCTTGAACAGAAGCTAGCACATTGCCTGGCCTAAGGTTGGTGCTTCTTCTTTTCTGATTTACCCATCTGACTTGAGATGTGGATGAATCCATCTCTGCAGTGTTAGGGAGCTCAGTCTGTGCCATGTACATCTGGTTAGTTGCAGTGCAAATGCTGAGTTGTGTCTACCCACACACAGTCAGTCTCTTGGTACCAGGCACGGCTACAGGCTTTGGTCTGTGTGGCATCCTTTCACTGTACCCAGCACTGCAAAGCACTGGGACAGTTTTCGACAGTTATTTGCCAAATGGGAAGGAACCTTCTTCTTTTTTTTTTTTGGTAGGAAAATGAATGGACTTATAAGGCAGAAAAAGAACACTGAACTTTGATCTGGAGAATGGGGCTCATTCAAACCCAGCCCAGAAACCTGGTAGCTATGTCTGCACACTGGATTTCAGTTCCAATATTCTCTCCTTGGCTAAACCATGCAGTCTCAGCCTCATCTTTTCTTTAAATTGGTATAAAAAGTACCTGTTCTGGTAACCTCAGCAGGTTATGATGGGAATGGAGAGAGATAATTCATATATAAGCTAGTACCTTTAAAATACACTTGTTGTTATGATGTGATGCTTTCTAACAAGCTGTTGAAGCTCTTGCCTCAATCCCTCACCTAGCTGTGCTTTCTGTGCTGATTGTCCCTGGGACCTTCTTCCAGAAACAGAAGGCCACCTTGCTCCACTACTTTCAACTTGGAAAGCAGTGTGTCTTTGGGTGGGGTTGGAATGTAGTCAGTGGTGTTGTTGAACGGTGTGTTGGCTGTGGTCAAGGAGCTACAAGAAGTGAGAAAAATCTAGAGGAAACTACGGACTCTACAAAAATCTCAAACCCAAAATATTTAGGAGAATAATATCTAGGGTCCTGTTCTTGCTGAATTGTATGCACTGGAAAGACATATTAGATTTGTGTAGAAAAGAGTTGTTATTGGCCCACTGAGCAAGCAAGAGTCTTGGGGTAGAATTATAATAGCAATCCGATTAAGGTCTTTCCTGTTCTTTACTTGCAACCAGTAATCCACTGGAATGGAGGAGTGGTTTTCCTGCCCACATTTGGAAACTTAAGCCCCTTTGTGTCAGTGACGACTCATAGGTGACAGACACATTAAGTGGTAAACATTGTGTCAATTTAGTTAATTGCATACAAATTAGTAATACACATTTTTATGTAATTAACAAAAACATTGTTTTATTCTAGATAACAATAAAACCCCCAAATTCCCAAGATCATTTCAAGTTAAGTCTTTTCTCTCTAGGTGGGCTTGCTTCAGGGAGGAAGCTGGAATCTGGGCAGGGGGGCCGGCCCTTCCACTCTCTATCCCCATCTGCTGTTCCTCCTCCTCCCCCAGGTTGCTAACCATGTTGGGGTCTCTCCAGAGCTGGGGTACAGGGAACCCAGAGGAGGAAGAGGACAGTTCTCGCTTGCCTGGTGCTGTCATCAGATGGCTTTGTGCTCTCTGTGCCTGGCTGCCTCCAAAGCTGACTCTTGGTCCCCTAAGGAACTTTTCTGGGTCCTTTGGAAATTCTCCTGAGGAGTGTGTCTGGTTGACTTGGGCTTGACTTGGGCAGTGGCTTTCCACCCCTCCCTGGTGACCTCCAGCTTCTTCCTCCTGAGGCCTCTTACTCTCTGGCAGTAATGTCTGGGGCAGGATCTTTTTAAAGACAGCCTCAGGCAAACTTTGCGATGCCAGTTCTACATGGGCCCTCACGGCTAGGACCACAGCGCCAACCAGCCTCTCCTCAGCATTCTCAGGTGTGAGGTAGTCATTGATCCACAATGCTCTCAAATACTGGAAACATGTCAAGCTCTGTGAGTCACTGTGTGAAGCCCTCTCACTAGACATAGTTTATGCAGACATCAAGTCACCTGTGATTAGGACAGTATGAAAGGTGAAAGAGAGACTGAGAATAGTGTCAACATCTTCACTGGATGAGAGTTGTGGCCACATGGGCACAGAAGGGAGGCGTTGTAGAAGGTAGTCTAGACTCATAGCATGAGCATCAGGGAAACAGAGTGGGCAATACTGAAGGAGAAATGGCCTTGAGGTGGCCTGGATAGGTAGGAAAATGTCATCACCACCACCAGGCCATGAGGTACCTAAGACAGAAGGCTGAGGAGCATGCTCTTGAGATGTCTTAAGGAAATCGGCCATTTCAGGAGGCAGGTGGTGGAGGGAGCCTCCCGTTAGGAAGTTGATGGTATAGGGGAGCTGGTCCCTAAAGGAATAGAGAAAAACCGGGGTAGAGAGAAGCAGTGGGAGTTCAGATCAGGAAAGAAGCAGGGTGGGGTTAATAGGGCAGGTGATGGTACTGGAGGGGATTCTTCTTGATGGTGAGGGTGTGAAGCCTGATGGGTTTCTATGGACCTGGGTGACATTAATAGCTGGCCTCTGTGCTCTTGTTCTTTCACTTGTTGGAATTCGAATGTCATCTCCTTCTGTAGGTCCCAGGGTACTGTTAAGGGCAACATGTCACTCCTGGTCCCCACCCGGGTTCCCACTTGATGGATCTACTGCATTCACTTCTGCGAGGGAGGCACAGGGAAACAGATTAAAGGAGTATAGCACCATGCTTTAGGATCTCCCCTACCAAGGTCTCCAAAGATGTTTCCCTAAAGGCCCACCAGGGTACAGGCTTGGAGCTGTTTTTCTCATACTGGAGCTGGGCTATGCTGGGAAAGCCCCACTCTCTTAGGCTGTGATGTGGCTGCCACAGCAGGGAGACTGGTGGCCTTCTAGGCAGCTGGGCCCATGTGCCATGAAGAGTGATTTCTCAGGGCTGAAGGATCCAGGACTGAACAGAGGAAATGCGGTTTGCATATGAGGTGGACTGGCTCGTGTTTCTCCCCCATGGAAAGTCAGACCCCCTCTTGCCTGTGCTCTTGTCCAGCTCTGCGCTTCTCTGCGGCTTAGCCTTCCCCTTTTCCATGTAACTCATTTATCTTTTTAAAAATCGTATAAGTTACACACATTGATTACAGAAATACTAGCAAATAAAAATAAGCGAAAAGGAAGAGAACTCCATAGTGGCACCATCTAGAAACAGCAAGTTTAAATTTTGATAACGCATGTATATATAATACATAGATTACACATTTAAAGATGAGATCATGATACAGATGCTACCTTGTAAACTAATTTTTTCCTCCGAAAAGCCTGTCATGACCATCTTTTCCTGTTAAGAAATGTGACCTGTACAAATGACCTTTTTTTTTTTTTTCTGGTAGTAAGATCCTTTCTTCAAGTATAATTTTATCTTGGACCTAGTATAGAAACGTGTAGAAAGCTCAGGTATCCTCAACTCAAACTGAGACAGCCAGCAGCTCCCAGACCTGTCCTGGGCAGACCAGAAAAAATGAGCCCTCTGGGGGTCAGTGTGGGAAGTGCAATTGGAAAAGCACTGATAAATGACATTTTTTCCAATCGTCACACTTCAATTTTATCAATAGCCTATTACTATCTAAGTTATTTCCCATTATTTTTCATTATAAATAATTTATATGCATCTATTTTCTCAGTTCTAGTTATTCCTTAGGATACACTCTTAGAAGATTTATAAACTTGACTAATACTGTTACATTTCTCTCAAAAGTATCTACAATTCATGGCTCTCACTATAACTACAGAAGTACCCATTTCTTTATACTCTCCTAACACTTCGATAATTCTTCCTTTTAATCCTGTTATGTGGTTGGTAACATTTTATATCCAAATGTTTAATCTCTCAGTTCTTTAATTAATAGTCAAAAGGAACATTTCTATATCTTTTCTATTCATTTTCTTTCTTTTTTTTTTTAATTTTTTTCTGATGAAGTCTCGCTCTGTTGCCCACGCTAGAGGGCTGGAGTGCAGTTGTGCAATCTCCACTCAACCGCAACCTCTGCCTTCCAGGTTCAAGTGATTCTCGTGTCTCAGCCTCCCGAGTAGCTGGGATTACCGTTGTGTGTCACCATGCCCAGCTAATTTTTGTATTTTTCGGTAGAGACTGGGTTTTACTATGTTGGCCTGGCTGATCTCAAACTCCTGACCTCAAGTGATCCACCCAGCTCAGCCTCCCAAAGGGCTGGGATTACAGGCGTAAACCACAGCAGCCGGTGTCATTTAGGTTTCTTTATTTTTTGATAGTTTGTTCACGCCCTTTGCCCATTTACTCAATTAGAATGTTTTTATTTCTTTGCCTGACTTCTTTATAAAAAGGATATTGTTCTTGCCTGTTATATAAAAATATTTCCCATTTGTAATTTTGCTTTTTAAGTTTGATTATGGATATTTATTCTTTATATAAATAATTTAACTTTTTCCCCCTTGTTGTTTCTGCTTTTGGTGTGATTCCTGGGAAGGCCTTTTCCTCACTGAAATTATGAAGGTGTTACTCAAATATTCTTTTATTCCTTTTATGTTTAAAGTGCTCTTTTTTTCAATCCAACTAAAATTTACTTTGTTCTTAGCCATGGTAGGTGGCGATCTAATCTTTTGAAAAAATGGCCAGATAGCTGAGTTGAAATTTCATATGATTTATATGTGTTATTCTGGTTCCACTATTATATTGTTTTAATTATCAAAGTTTTATATAATGTTTTAATATGACACTGCATATTTATCTTTATTATTTTGATATTTTTCTAATTATTCTCATATTCATCCTTGGTGAAGAGCTTTAAAATTGTCAACTTTTCTGGAGTTGCTGGCTAAGAAAAATACCGCTTCGGTAAATAGTAGTAAAAAATAAATAAAAGATGGCCTCCCCTCAGGTTAGCGGCCATTGCCTTGTGCCTGGACAGCTGCGTCTGACTCTCTCCTGGCTTGTCCCGGCTCCATGGCTCTCCGCAGACAGCCCTGCTACTCTCTGGGAAATCTCCTCTTTCTACGGCTTTCTCTTAGCTGAGTCGCATAAACCCTGAACCCTGCCTCTCACAGCTGCCCTTACATTCTGACAAGCTGCGGTACTAACATGACTCCTGCGTTGTTTCCTGGAATCTCTTGTGCCTCATTCTCACGGGCTGCCATCACCCTATAAACCTGTGAGGATCAGTTCATCCTCTGCAAGGCCAGGGAGTGCTCCCAGGGGCTGAATTACGCATTGACACTTGGCTTCCGTGTTTAATCTGCTCCCTCGTGTGCTGGGAATTCTTTGAAGTTTCTGGTATTTGGATGGCTTCTTTCCTTGGCTCTCATTCCAGATGCAGGTCTCCTCCTGTTTTTACATTTCTTCAGTGACTTTTATTGGTACTGCCCAGAGGAAGGGAGCTGCCTAATGTCTGCTTCCAAGCTTCATCTTTCCCAGAAGCTATGGATGATGAGGATTTTCCAAGCACCCTATGTTGAGCCTCTTCATTTTGTAGTGAGGAAATAAGTTGTTTTACATCTTTAGAAAAGCACTCTAATGTTAATTGCTTCCTTTCTGATAATTTAGGACACTGTTCATGATATTAGACAGTATCTCCCAGAACTAGACATATTTTCCATGAACAAACAGCTAATTTTAACCCAGTGAGTTTGGTGAAACGTAATCCATCAGGTCACCCTCTTGGCTATGGGTCTCAAGTCCTCGCCTCTGACAAGTTTCCTGGGACTTCCCTCATGTAATTTCCTATATTTATTTTTCCTTCACTTCTATTTCTTCACCTTAAAATTCTTAGGTGTCAATATTCTTTTGCCCACCACATTCCATTCTTTCTGAAGCCTGCTAGGCATAAACAAAGAGATGGAAAAATAAGTGTATCACGGGCCAGGTGCGGTGTTTCATGCCTGTAATCCCAGCACTTTGGAAGGCCAAGGTGGATTGTTTGAGCGGAGGCGTTTGAGCCTAGCCTGGCCAACATGGTGAAACATCATCTCTACTAAAAATACAAAAATTAGCCAAGCGTGGTTAATTACAGGTGCACACCTGTAATCCCAGCTACTCAGGAGGCTGAGGCATAAGAATCACTTGAACCCGGGAGGCAGAATTTGCAGTGAGCCAAGATCGAGCCACTGCACTCGAGCCAAGGTGACAAAGCAAGACTCTGTCTTAAAACAAACAAACAAACAAACAACTGTATCACAAACCAAAAATAAAGTTAGAAAGCCCTCCAACCATCTGAATGAATTTCTTCCTCAGCCAAGGCTCTTTTAAAACATAACCTGAGAGGCTGTTCCAGGCCATGCTGGGAAGTGGGTGTCGGACATGTCTCATTGTATCCCTCCAACATTAACAGCAACGCAGACTTTAAGTCTGATGAGAAACATTTTACAACCTAGTCTCTCACACTGGAAGCCTACAGCCTGAACGTTTCCTCTGCAAATAAGAAATATGGTCTCCACATTTCTTTATCTTAACTCAAGACGTTTCTTTCTATTGCTCCCAGGTCTTTAGATAAATTTGACCAAATGTCAACCAGAAAACAATTAAATCTACCTATAATCTGGAAGCCTTACCTACCCCACCCCACCCTATCCAACCTGCCATTTTGGGGCCAACCCTATGTATTTCTTAAATGTGTTTGATTGAAGTCTCATGTCTCCCTAAAATGTATAAAACCAAGCTGCACCCTGATCACCTTGGGCTCATGTTCTTATGACTGCCTGAGGGCTTTGTCATGGACCATGTTCACTCATTTTGACTCAGAATAAATCTCTACCAATATTTTACAGAGTTTGATGCTTCATTGACACATCTTTGCATATCTATGTCATGAAACGTTCTTCCTATCTCTCCTGCCTCATCCATTCCCTGCCTCCCCTGTCATAATAACTAGGGCTGCACAGTGCCCAGAAAACTTGGTACAAGCCTCAATCCTTCACAAAACAGACGGGTCAAATTACCAAGAAGAAGCCTAGGAAACAAGTACACATTCTATTTGTTAAGTTAACTTCTAAACCACTTTGTTGATATGTAACTGACATATAAAAAGCTGTACATATTCAACACATACCACTTGATGTGTTTGGAAATATGTATATACTCATGTAACCATGATTACAAGCCATGCCATAAACATATCCATCACTTCCTAAGGCTTCTTCCTGTCCCCCTTTAGTTTTGTTTTGTTTAGTTTTTTTCCTTTTGTGGTAAGAGCACTTAATGTAAGATTTACCTTGTTAGCAAATTCTTTTTTTTTTTTTTTTTTTTTTTTGAGACAGAGTCTCACTCTGTCACCCAGGCTGGAGGGCAATGGCGTGATCTTGGCTCACTGCAACCTCCACCTCCCAAGTTCAAGAGATTCTCCTGCCTCAGCCTCCTGAGTAGCTGGTATCACAGGCATGTGCCACCGTGCCCAGCTAATTTTTGTATTTGTAGTAGAGAAGGGGTTTCAACATCTTGGACAGGCTGGTCTCGAACTCCTGACCTTGTGATCCACCTGCCTTGGCCTCCCAAAGTGCTGGGATTACATGCACGAGCCACCACGCCCGGCTGTTAGCAAATTCTTAAGACTGCTATTTAGTATTGTCACTCATATGTCTCACGCTGTGCAGTAGACCTCTGGTACTTATTTAGTAGGATCAAAATAACTTAATTTTAATTGCATACAACACACTAATATGTTCTTCATGTAAAAATTACTGCCTTGCATATAAGTTCCTGTGGTGGTCACTACCACTAGTCTAACTCCCATCCCTAGAAGTGAGGTCAAATGTCAAGTTGGTGTGTGTTTTTGCAGATTATTGTTCATTTTCCCTAGAGCTCTCTTTTGTGTGTTCTCTCTTTCTGCTCCTCTCTATCTTTCTGTACATAGTATCTAGCATTTGTTTTGAGTTTTTGACTTTAATGGTATCATTCTGCATGGGTTTTTGTGCATGTTGTTTTCGTCACTCAGCATATAATATGGATATGTTCATGTTGATGCATATTACTTCCCATGGCCCTACCACTTCCACATTGAGAGACGGCTATATAGTATTTGAGGGCACCAGAGCTAGACCCAGACTGTATGGATTCAAATCCTGCTCCTGCATTTACTAGCTGTGACCTTGGGCAAATTACTTTCACTCTTGGAACAGCAATTAACTATAAAATACAGATAATAATAGAACCTACCTCAAAGAGATGTTATGAATATTAAAATATTTCATACATGTAAATCACTTAGAATCATAAATGACACCTAGTGTGCAATCAATAAGCATAAGCTACTGAAACTTCTTTCATAGACTAGTTAACCGTTCCTCCACTGAGAGACACCAAGGGTAGCAATGAATTCCTGCTACTCTAGGCAATGCCACAATATGCATCACATATGTATACATGCACACATGTGCGTGTTTCTCCAGAGCAGATACCAAGAAGTCATGTCAAAGCGCTGCACATTTTATATTTCAATAAGATGTGTTTACTTATACCGCTGTCAATAATACATGAAATTACCATACTTCACCCCACTTCTTGCAGATCCTTGATAACGCTAATTATACTTATTCTAAAATTCTATTAAATTTGCTTCCCCAGATGCAAATTCTGTGGAATGATATTTTAAGTGTATTACCTGTTTTCTACAGTTTGGATTTTGTCGCTTAAATTTTAAATGTTTGATTGCACCTCATTTTTGTGGTCAAGATTGTTAAGTTCTCTATCAATTTTCAAAGTTACCCGGAGGAAGGGGAGTACGGGCTGTTAAACACTGGTTTCTTAGTTGCCTTCAGGGTGTATGGAGGAGAGTGGGCTCCAACTGTGGGCAGAGCAGTGGGCAGCTAGTCTTGTGAATATGTACTGGCCCTTCCTCTAGGGCATTAGTGCTCCCCAGGGCCCCACTCTGCATCTTCAAAGCCAGGGAAACTTGCTATGATTAATCCTCTGTGTTGTACTTCAGGAATCACCCTGTCAGTTGCCTTGGGTCCTCTCCTGCACTCCACATTTATGCAGCCTGTTTAGGAAGTGCTCTGAGAATTCTCCCATCCCACTTAAGCATCATCTGGGGGTAGTGTGGGCTGTGTGGTCTCAGCCTTCCCTCCAGCCAGTCTGCTTCCTTTTCTTAGGGATCCCTCACCATTTCTGGATCAAGGAGAGTTTCCTTCCCCCCACCCCAATATGATTATCAATTAAAAATATCTTTCCGATTCTTTCTATGGTTTTGGATAAGGAGGACAAGATATTTGTTTCTGGAAAATGAGAAGTTAGTATGGGAGAGTTCATTTCTTTGGACACATATGCATGTCAACACTGCTCGAGAGGAAAAAGATGGAAGCATGAGCTTCAAGGTGAATGTTCACAAAGTGAGTCAGCCACCTACCTTCCTTAGTGGCTCTGGGCTGTTCATGGGAACCATCAGCATTTTCCTGGGCATCTAAGTTTTCTTTTGTACATCTTTTTGGACAATCAGACCCATGAAGAAAGGAAAGAGGTAGAAGAGGAGAAGGAAGAGAAGGAAAGAGGAGGAAGATCTCTACTATTAAGAGTTACATATTAGTGAAAATGATCCTACCCTCACTCAAGGATGATTCTTTATGAAACAGCACCTGGTCAAGCCAGCTCACCTCCTTGAAGGAACTTCATGGGGTAGACGATGGCGTGGTACCTGTCTATGCTGAGGGACACCAGGACGTAGGTAGAGGCGTAGAGCAGCACAACCTAAAGAGAGAAATGGGAAGAGGCTCATCACTTCAGAGAGGGGAGGGAATGCACAGAATGGAAAGAATAGAACCTTGTGTTATTTAGAAACCGAGAAGTGAACCAAAGAAGTGGTGAGGGTGGGTTAGGGAAAGAAATAAATGAATCTCTGATATAAACAAGAGACAGGGAAATACTGGGTAGAAGAGGGCAGTTCCCCAGCAAAGACTCTACCTTCAAGCCTGGAAACCAGTGGCCCTAAATGAGTACAGGCATTCCTGTTTTCATGTCTGAAATGTTGCCTTTTGGCCTGCCACATCCCCCTATCCTATACCCACATAAACACCAAACCCCAGGCTCCAGGAGGAAATGAGCAGATAAATGGCAGAATGATGTGGCAGAGAAGGAGAGAAGAGAAGGAGAGTCTGAATGCCAAGAGGAGTTCAGCATGGGACCACCAGAGAGGAGACAGGCCGAAGGATTGCCAAATTCCAGGGGAAGATCGTCTTCCCTCTCCATCCCCTTTCTAACTCCCCATCACTGAGAATTACCTCCACCACTCAATAAAACTCCTGCATTCATCCTTCAAGTCCACGTGTGACCTGATTCTTGTTGGGCTATGGACAAGGACCTGGGTACCAAGAGGGCACTGAGCTGGTTAATGCTTAAGCCATCTGCAGACAGCAGAGCTAAAATGGCACCATAATACAGGGGCTTCAAGAGTCACAGGTACCCACTCCAGACACTACTGTGGAGCCAAAGCCCAAAGCATTTGCCCTGGCTCCTGCACCTGCCCTTCTGTGTGATCCCTCTCCTGTAAGGGTTTTGAGCTTGAGGCAGCCAAACAGAGAGTTATACCCCTGTCCCACATCCTGTGATGGATGGGCCAGGGAACTTTCCTGTTTCATCTCCACACCAGGAAGAAGATTTTGGTTCCTGGTGCTAGAATTTGCACTGTTGGCCATGATGAGAGAATGTTTCCAGTTCTTTCTTGCTCACTCAGTCCCTTGGCCTCTTGGAAACTGTATATTTCAGGATCAGTCCTTCTTGACATTTGCATGGTACATTTGTTTGTAATTGACTTTTAAAGCTAAACTAATTTTCTCAGCCACAATTGACATTCCAGAATAATTAGAAAAAAAAGTTCATTTGCTTTTTATCAGCAGAAGTCAAGAGATGACAGAAGGGTTCCCGTTTTAGGGAACCTATGTGCAATGTTGAATAATTTATCATCATTAGCACTGACACCATCTGAAAGCTCCCCCTTTTCATCCTCTTCATTAGGCTGAGGCTCTGTGTCTCCTCTTCCACTCTCACTTTTATTAACTTTACCTACACCTCTTAATTATCTGTGTACATCTTTTTTTTTTTTTTTGGCATATTTAGCAGAAAAGGAAATTGGGATTTAAGAAGTTAATTTATCTTATGTGAAGACCATATTTAGAATGTAATTAAATGAAATATATTTGAAGGGATGATCAAGGTGAAATTTTTTTTCAGATACCTTGGAGCCTTATTTCTACCAAGAGTCCACCTGTATTTCTGCTTTGTAACATTAGGATCAAATGCAGACGGGGTAGGAGAGTAACTTGTATACTGAAGTCTAACGGTGAGTATTTATTTCACTTTCTTTTTGGCAACTACCTTCGTTCTGAATTCATGCCTTTTTGTTCTTTCTCTGGATCAGACAAATAACAATCAAGTACATTGTTGTTCTTTATTATTTCCACAAATGCATCTCAGCATGAATGTTGTGAAAAACACCAGAGGGAGGAGGTTCTGAGGAATGATTAGAAATTGAAGGCTCATAAGAAAGAATGAGATCATGTCCTTTGCAGGGACATGGATGGACATGGATGGAGGACATTATCTTCAGCAAACTAACACAGAAACAGAAAACAAAATACTGCATGTTTTTACATATAAGTGGAAGCTAAATGATGAGAACACATGGACTCACAGAGGGGAACAACACACACTGGGGCCTATAGGAGGATAGCGGGTGGGAGGAAGGAGAGGATCATGAACTACCGGGTACAAAGCTTATTACCTGGGTGATGAAATAATATGTAAAATAAACCCCTATGACACAAGTTTACCTGTATAACAAACCTGCACATTACCCTGGACTTAAAATAAAAGTTAGAAAAAAAAGTTAAAAAAAGAAATTAAAGGCTTCCCTGAAAACTACAGGAAAAAAATTGTCCTCTTGGGGAAAAAGGTGATAAATAGAGAAAGAGAACATGGATGACTAAGTTTAAGAAAACAAAAATCAAACAACTGTCTACTTAGACAAAACTGGGGTTTCTCCATGTGATCCATGAATTTAGAACTATGAAGGCTGCTACACACAGAGGAGGAGGAGGATGAAAAGGAAGCCATGCAATGGTGGAATGTGTGGGGTGCAACATCATGGTGAGAAGGTTATAAGCGTCTTGGGCCTCGGTAGCTGTCTTGAGGGAGGAGACAGGCACAGTTCAGAATCTGGAGCAGGAGGAAGAGTCACAAACAAGAGTGTCCAGAAGAGCAGTCAATGTTGATAAAAAGATGCCGACTTCGAGATACAATCCAAAAGAGTATTTAATTTCAGAGATTAACCATCTTTAGGCATTTAGGCAGGGTAAAAAACATTAAAGGTTACCTAAAAGAAATACATCTTAAATTATCATGCCTCTTTTCCACAAGAATAAATGCCAGAAAGCAGTATAACAACATGTTGAGAGTTTTGAAAAAAAGTTATGACATGAGATCTTTGTAAATATCATTTCTGTGCCAAGGTACAGAACAATTTTTTCAGATATATAAGAAAGAAGAAAGTGTAACATCATATACTCTTCCTGGCATACTTCAGCTGATTGAGAATTGAATCAAAATTAAGCATTCAGCAAGAGGAAAGAAGAGGGAATAATAACAACTATAGTAAGCAATGAAGTTGGAAACACATGAAATGCTTACAAAATAATTATAAATGTGATTATGAAACATTTCAGGAGAAACTTCAGGGAGTTGAACGAAGGGACAGAGTAAAAAGAAAGACATTATGTTCAATTTTGTTATGTATTTTGGGTATCCCTTTTGTTTTTTACCTTTATAGGGATATATTAAAGCTAAAAGTTTAAAATAAGCTATGATAGAGTAACATAAAATTGGAGAAATTTTAATTAGTTTCCTATGGTGGCTGTAACAAATTAACTGCAAACTTGGTGGCTTAAAACAATATAAATATATTCTCAGACAGCTCTGGAGATCAGAAGTCCAAAATCAGTTCTATTGGGCAAGAATAAAAGTTTGGCAAGGCCATGATTCCTCCAGAGACTCTAGGGAGAATCTGTCCCTTGCCTCTTCTGGCTTCAGGTGACTGCCAGCAGTCTTTGGTGTGTGGCCAAATCAGCCCAAGCTCTGCCTTTTCCTCTTCTGTGTGTCACATTCCCTTCTACCTCCCCGTTATGATTGCATTTGGGACTCGGTGGGATAAACCAGGATAATCTCCCTGTTTTAAGATCGCTAACCTAATCACATTTGCAAAGTTCCCTTTTCTTATATAAGGTAACATCACAGGTTCCAGGGATTCGGATATGGCTTTCGTGGTGGGGGGATGGGAGAGCTTTTTTAAGCCTACAGTAATTGATTATCAATAAAAAGAAAAAAAAAAAAAAAACAAGTAAATAGCAAACAAACCCTTAACATAGAAAAACTAAAATTAGGTAACTGAAATAACATCAGACCCCAACATTATCTGTCACAATACATGTGAATGACTTAAGCTCTTTCACTTAAAATAAATAACTGTTATTTTAAAATATCACTAAAATCCAATTCTATGCTGTTTAAAAGAGAAAAATATAAAAACCACATCACTTAGATATCTAAATGTGAAAACAGAGGAATGGCCAAATGTGTATCAAGCAAGTAAAAATTAAAGAAGGTATTCATTACCACACTGCTATTAGACAAATTAAATTCAAAGCAAACAGCATTTCATGTGATAAAAGATTGTTTATATTGATAAAAGATAGAATACATGATGGCAATAGAACACTGACAAACTTATATGTAACAAGTAATGTAACACTAAATATACAACAAAAATGTTCAAAGTTTTGCAGAAGAATAAAAATATATAGGTAGAAAAAATAGACTTCATAACATAAGAATAATACACATCGCTATAAAATATCCAGACATTTCAAAAATTGGTGATATACTAAACTACCAAGAAAAAAACCCTCTCAATAGCTCTAAAAAGTAGGGCTTACGCAAATCACATATTTAAAACAATGAGCAATGAAGCAGAAATTAGTAACATGTTTTTAAAAAAAATACCACTTGGAAATTTAAACACCCTCATAATTAACTCGAGTCAAGAAGGAAATCAAAGTACAATTATAGTCAATTCATAAATGTCAACAATGAAAACTCTACACATCAACAACATATGGGATACCATTTGGAGAGCAGATGGCACCCCGAGGACATATGTCTGAATTCTCACTACCCCACCCCTTAATTCTGACAGAAATGACCTAGGAAATATAAAACTTAAGAAAATCTTGCACAGAAAAGTGAGACTTAAATGCTGGAAACAGAGAAATTTTACTTAGAAAAATGCCAGATTGGATTCTATAAACGAGATGCCTAGACTGACTTTAAGAAAATAGACTTAATTTTTCGTAACAATTTTATATTTACAAAAAATTGCAGACAGAATTTCCATATTACCCCTCTCCCATCTATATACTTTTCCTTGTTATTAACATGTTGCATTAATGTAGTTTGTTCATCAATTTGTTAAAATTGATGAACCAATATGAATACATGATTATTAACTAAAGTCCATTGTTTATATTAAGGTTCACTCTGTGTTGGACAGTTCTATGGGTTTTGACAATTGCATAATGTTATGTGTCTACCATATAGTATCAGAAGAGTTTCACTATCCTAAAAATCCCCTGCTTTTATCTAGTCATCTCTTTCCTCCTCCAAATCCCTGGCAACACTGGTTTCTTACTTTTCTACAGTTT